GCACTCTTGAGCGAGCTCTTAACCAACTGAGCCACTCGGCCGGCCCTTAGATTTGCTTTTTAAGTAGTGAATTAAAAAACAAGATCTACCAGTTAAGTATAATTTTGATTTAAAATTAAGTGTGAACAATATTTTAAGGTCTGTGTAACAACTGTAATAGAGCATAAAAATATCTGTGATTTCTATTGGTGACAGTCACAGGACCTGCTTGTTACTGTGGTTTGCTGTCCACGTTCATAATGGAAGGAAATGTATAATGTCAGTTAGAGGTTAGTGTAAATTTTTCCCCAACCAAGGTCACGCGATCCACTGCATTCTATCTACTGACCCTTTAGGGGTCTGGGATCCCAGGTTAAGAATCCCTGTGCAGAATTTCGGGTCCAGAGCTAGTCAGCGGGGCCCCTGTCACCTTTGTTTCTATCTACACACGTTTGGTTCAAGTTGTCCCTGCCGGGAAACACCCCCAGCCCCCACGTCAGGAGAGCGTGGAGGGGCAGTCCAGCTTCCGGAGACCCCCACAGCCCCACACGCCCACACACGCATGCGCGCTCCGCACCGTGCAGCTCTTACCTACGGCAGGGAAGGGCACAAATCTCTGGACAAGTAGGCGGGTGGCTGGGGTGAACTTGTTGGCTTTCTGAACCAGGACATTAAGGCCCACCTTGGAAAGAGAAAACAGAAAAAGCACATGGTGCTACAGCTGCCTGTGGGAGGAAGGGGCAGATTGGAGGAAGCGCAGAGAGGGAGCGGCACCATTTCCCCTTGCAATTTCACCCCAGATCCTATAGATTGCAGAGCTCCAGGGTGGCTATTAAAAGCACCACAGCCCCATTATCCCAGTTAACTGGTTCATGAGAAAGAGGGTGGGAGGTAAAGCATCAGCTACACACACACACACACACACACACACACACACACACACACACACACACACACACACACACACACACACACACCCTCTCTGGAGAGGGAGAAAAGTGATGGTGGGTGGTTGCTATTGCAAATAATAAAGTGTAGGACTCCCTCACTCCCACCCAGCCTCTAAGGACCACCTTTCTAAGGCTCACTCTGAGCCCAGGCATGGGCCTGGCCAGACCACAAGGGCTCAGGAGAGAGAGATCTAAGCACCTGCCCACAGGAGCTTGCAGAGCTAAGCANCACTTTGGATGCCCAATTTCAAACCTTTTCTACCAAAGCATTCATTTGATCACGGAAAACCACACCGAGTACTGACTGTGTGCCAGGCACACAGGGGACCTGGGGGTTGGTGACGAATGAAATCCAGTCCCTGTTTGGGGGACCTCACAGTCTGATGAGGGAGGTAGACTCAGAAACAAAACAGGTAGTTCCAGGATAGACACAGGCACACACAGGGTGCTGTGGTCAATCCCTGACTGGGGCTACTAGGGAGGGCTTCCTGAAGAAGGTGGTGTCTGAGCTGAGAAACAAAGGCCTGGCAGCCAAGGGTAGCAGGGAAACGTGGGGACTCCAGCCAGTAAGGCCATGTGCAAAGGCCTGGGGCCCAGTGAGGGAGGCAGCGGGGAGGTCATTAGATTAGATTTACCATGGCTTTGATGGGGTATGAGCAAGCAAGCCCAGAGGCCAGGTGGAGGAAAGAACTCATGGCCCTTCCGAGGAGCCGAAAGGCCGTGGCTGCCACATCATCACTGACTTGGATGGAGGGAACAAAAGACATGAGGCCCAGGACACAGCTGATGCAGAGGCACCTGCTGTCTTCTAATCACAGGGGAGGAGGGAGTGGAGAGGAGCAGGCTTGGGGACTCACCCCTGGGGCTTGGGCACACTGCGGTGGCCACCTTCCAAAGGAGGCAAGCAGGGCAGACTGAGCACTGAGGCAGGAGCGGTAAAGTGAAGGAGGAATCGATGACACCAAGACCCAGGTGGCCTGGCGGCACAGGGAGCATGGAGACGGGGGGCAGAAATGGAGCACACTGGGATGAACGAAGCCTTTTCCCAAAGGCTGCTCAGACATCCTGAAGAATGGGTTCACGGGTGAACAGAGATCTTTTTCATGGCAATGACATAAGCTGTGACATTTAATGTGAGGGACAGCTATGGACAACGCGGGAAGAAGCCATTTCCCGGCAAAGGGATGATGAGGCTGGCATTTCTGGTCTACACAGGAAGAGTATTCCCTGTGCCAGCAGTCTGTTGGCTGGGGCTGAGGCTCAGGCCTCCTCCACCAGGAGCTCAGAGCCCCCATGGCGGTCTTCACTAACTCAGACACTGCGTGTCCTCTGCTCAGTGTGGATTCAACCATGCAGCCTGGGCGTGACCTTCAGGGCTTTCTGCCCTGCCCCCTACACATACATAGAGAGCCTGGGTCCACAACCATCCTTGTCAGGTGACACCTGGGGTCTGTCTCCATGTCTCAGCTCCTGGCTAAAGCCCCTGCCCGCCCATCCCTGAAAGGGTGTATCTACTTCTCTGCCAGTGCCCCATATCATGGTACCCGGGACCCACCCAGCACTCCTTCCTCCTGGGCACTCTCCCCAGCCCCCACCCCACAGCCTCATGAGAAGGCTGTTTGTGGGTCCTGCCTCCACTGGAATGGACTCTGTTCATGGAGACTGGTGGCTGGATCTGAAGGTTTGTATTTTTCCGATGCCTCCTCAATTGACCTTTAATTACACTGTTTGCCCAGCTCCCCAAACCATTAACTTCCACCTTCCATCAACCGCATGTCAATTAATGGAGGGCCTGCTCTGGGCCCGAGCTCCCGAACACAATTAAGCGTGACAGTCCACAAATAAGAAAGAACTGGAGAATTAATTAAGGCCTAAACAAATTAATTACCAGTCCCCAATCGATTCCGATGCCAGCACACACCGTCTTTCCTAGCATGTCCATGTATAAATAGAAACTGAGCTTTCTCACATGATTGCTGTTCTAGACCCAGCCACAGCCAGGCTCTGAAACTACCTCAAGGGAGAGAAGTGGCTGAGTGAGTGTCCTTGGGGGTCCCCACGTACTCAGCGTTCACACACATACACACAACGCCGGCTGAAAGGCCAGGGGCGAACGTGGAGGTGGAGTGCTCCTGATGGGACTCGAACAGCCCTGGCTGCCTCTGGACCACGTCCTGTTTCTGGGCTGCAGGGTTATTCAAGTGGGCTTGAAGTAGCCCTGGGCTGTGCCTTCGAGGTCTGGGTTTTGGCCAGCTCAGGATAACTTTCAACAAGTCTGAATTTGTGTATTCTTCTGGAAAATGAGATGGCTGTCTCTGCCCTAGGGCCCTCCCAGAGAGAGAAAGTAGATTGTTGAGGGGAACAGAGGCCTGTTGGGGAAATGAGGAGAGCTGGGAGTACTGGGCTCTGCAAACCCAGGGGAGGCCTGCAGTGACCGTCCCAGAGGTGCTTGTGGGAAGGGCCTGAAATAGGGTCTGAGACCAGAGAGGGGTGGGAGTGGCAGGATCAGGTGCGAGAACCAGGCGTCCTGTGCTGGGAGTCTCAGGCCTCTCTCTTGGGCAGCATGTAGGGCCTGGTGCACAGAGGTGTCCTCCCATCTCCCAGACTTCAGGCTGCAGCAGGAACCCCAGGAGGGGCTGGGCAGAGCAGTGGGGAGAAGCAACAAACTCCCGGGAGTCTCCTGGTTTCCCAGAGCCTGAGCTCCCAGCCTGCCCAGGAGGGACAGGGTGTGGATGCGGCCTCTGAGCACAGGGCAGTCTCACTCTGAAGATCCTCTTCTGTTCCATCCTCCTATACACATCCCAACAACCAGAGCTTAATCTGATCACTTCCACTTGCCTCAACCTAATCCCCATGTGCACTGTGGCTCCACGAGTCCTGTCTCCCCATCAGGCCAGGGCTCCAAAAAGGTAATGGACCCTCTATAAGGTAAAGCAAGTCCTGAGTAAGCCTCTCGGTGATCTTAACAGAGGCCTGGCTCAGTCTGGCCCAGCCTGCCATAGAAAGCAGGGGTGAACGCCTAGTGGGACCTAGGCCCTACCAGCACGCAGTGGAGCTGAGCGATGCCCTGTCCTGGCTAGAGGCCCCTGGGGAAAGGTGGAGGGAGGCCAAGTGCAAGGACTAGACGATGGCTTGAGAGGACCAGGGGACTTTTGAGCGCCTGCAGGGTGAGGGACATGCCTATTTATCTTGCACACCACTGTGTCAGCATTGACCAGGGGAACTGGTAAGTGCCCATTTGCAGATGGGCCTGGGATGGACACTGGGGGCCAAAGAGATGGAAGCTTGCATGTGAGGGAGGAGAGACTGAGGCAGGGAGTAGAAGGCAGACAGGCACACAACCAGGACTTGGGCAGCAGGCCTGAGGAAGCAGCCATAAAGGACCTGCTTCTCTCAGGATCCCGGTGAGCTCGGACTATCAGGGCTGCAAACCACGCTGTATGCAACCTATGCAACTGGCTAGGGCTATGTAAGAACTCAAGACCCCTCAACGGTGGCTGGACTAGTGCAAGGGGACTGCAGGCTCCTCCTCAAAAAGACGACAGGAGAGGAATCGGGCTGAAGCCCAGAAGGACGGGTCAGAAAGTGTCAGGTGGGTATCACAGAAAACATCAAACCCCAAAACAGGGACCCTCCTCCTGAAGGAGGCTCAGAGAGGTTAAGACCACACCCCAAGGTCACACAGCAAGCTGACCGGCAGAGCAGGGCTGGAATGGGCCCTGGCAAAGTCCTTCTCTGAAGCTTGGCTCAAGGACAGATTACATCTCAGCCGAGTCCCAGATCCAGTCCAGTGCAGCTGAGAGCTCCCCCCTTCTCACGCTGCATCTAACCCTCCAGCCCAGGATGGTGAGGACCACAAGAATGGCAGCTGTGTTCACTCAATTAGGCCCCTTAACAAAGTCAGATCTAAACAGTTATTCCATTAATGGCCCACACCAGAAATAGCTGAGAGTTCATTAAAAGTGTGGAGTTGCTATAGCAATTATCTGGGTTGGCTGAGGCTCATTGAGCAGGTTTGTCCTGGGAGTTCATTAGCCTCTGGGCCACTGAGGAGGTGGTGCTGCCCAGGAATGATCTCCTGGGGGCTTTTCAGGTGCTTCAAAGCACTTTCCAGTGAATGGAATCTGGTCTGTGGTCTCATTTGATCCTCCCCCAGTTCTGGGCTGCAGGAAGGTAGGTACTGGTGCCCCACCTTATAGATGGAGAAGCTGAGCCCTGGAGGAGAACAGGGTCCAGACCATGAACCTGGATCTGACTCTCAGCGATTCAGACTGAGCCTTGGCACCAGAGCGGTCACGGTACCGCAAGCCCCTCCTGGGCTGGCCCCCATCTTTGTCTTCTGGCAACAGATGGGAAACACAGTGTCATGGTTCAAACACTGGCTTATCCTTCTCTTTTAATAACTAATCGCAGACTGCCTCATGTTTTTTTCAATGTTATTTATTTCTCTTTAATTAAAAAAAAAACAACTTTCCACTGCAGTGCCCTCTCCCCAAAGTGTGGGTTTCTTACAGAGTCAGGCTGGACTTTGTGGGACCCCCGGGCCCAGGCCTGAGGCATCTATTGGGAGCTCAGAGACTCCAAGACCAGCAAAGACTCAGCTGAAGGCAGGCAAGATCCCTTCCACACACACACATGCACCCACAATTACCTGAATTTGAGGGCCAACAATACCCAAGGGCTTGGGACACTAGACTAGCGGGAGCTGTGGACATTCTTTTGTGTCAGGAAC